ATAAAAAGGGTTTTATGGTGGTGGTGTCCTCAGCCACAACTCGCCACAGTCCCTCGTAAATCGAAGCCGCACCGTCCCTCATTGTTCGGTCTCACTCACCAAGTGTCTCTCATTTTCAGCTCAGTTTGAGTTCTTTTGTACCTTTCATCAGAGAACGGAGAGAGAGAGGAGGGAGAGAGAGGAATAGAGAGAGAGTTGGGTGTTCTAATCCACACTACCTCTTCACCACGAGTGACAGAATAAAAGAGATCCTGTCATGTTTGAAAGAGCCATCCAGTCTAGCTCGACAGAAATTGTCGCCATGCGCTATGAATGAATCATTTCAAAGAGCCCGCTGTGGTTTCACACTGTTGTTAGGCTTCTTTACTGGTGTGGAAAAAATAGACATATACACCTGCCACTTAAAACATTATCACACTGTATTATTATAAAACCTTTACATAAATTAATACTTACCATAAGGGGTGTAAACATGCATAGAGGAGTCATGAAGAATCAATGTGTAGGTAGTGAATAAACTACATTGATTTTGGAATGTTACAGTCAGTTATGATTGATTATAATCATAAATAATAAATAATGTTTAGTAATTTTATTTAATAAATCAATAAACTGTGCTCTTTGGCAGCTGTGCTAGACCAAATACAATTCTCAAACAGTACCTCCTTTGCTAATTAGCATGTAATTGCCTGATCACAGTTCTTTGAGATAATCGTGGTTGTTTTCCGGACTCATAAGATTTTACAAACATATTGTACCACAACAAGCATAGTGTGAGCCAGATACATTTCCATCAGGTGGCTTGAACCAAATATATATATTTCTTCTAACTTTTTTATTTCTGACTTCACTGTGAAACATAACAATTGCAGTAACTTATTTTTTGGTTTACTTTCCTCATCAGTTAAACTTATTAATGTAAATCTAGTAACATACTATTTCTTGTATAGTTCATTAGTTATTAAAGTAAATGTAGTTAAGCTTAATTAATTTGGGTAAGTCCTACAGACTGAAGAGTCTTTTGCACAAAATCTTGTCAGCATTCCCAACAGTTTTGTTGGTGTTCTTATTTTTTTTTATACTTCTTTTACATAATGTTATTTTTGCATCATAGCATATTCTCATGCTAAAATTTTAAGTGTAGATTTACATGTTTTTGTTATTTTCATCATAATGCTGTTGTGTCTTTAGGTTCACCAGTTCAGCCTATCGTCATAAATACTATTAATCGGTGAAAAACAGCCCCCAAGCAGTTTCTGAACAGAATGACAAAGATGCTTGAAGCCATTTGATGTTGTTTCAGTTGAAACCATCACACTACACATAAATGAATATTTGCAGCTAAGTGCAGTTAAATGAGAGGTTTACTTACCAGGCTGTGGTACCAAAATTTAATCTAACTCATCAAGAGTAAACAGAACTGAAAAAAGTAGAGTACTGCTAGATCTTTTAAAACTATTTAAAATTATTTGGCTATGTGAGTTAACCTTATTGGCTGGAGAAGTGTGGCTGTTAATTAACTTTTTTTTTTCAAGGCAATACATTTGCATGAAGTTTTTTAGTAAAGTCAACTAATTTAAGTTTACAGTGTTGAAGTTTAACTGTGTGCTGTAACAAATTAAAGGAAATGTTTGTTAGTTTGGTAGCTAGGTGGCTAAAGGTATATTTTGGCATGTATGCTTGCAAGTGACTCTGTGTAATTCAGGGGTGTCTATCTGCTGTTTTATCTGCAATGGGCCAGTGTTGCTGCAGGTTTTCATTTTGATCATCAGATTCTACTTGTTTAATAAGCTGGTCTCAGTCAAACAACTGATCATGTGAGCTGGCCATTTACGGGTAAGACTGGACACCCCTGTTGTAACTGTAGACGCTTGTTATGCACACTACAGTGCAGTGTATAATCTCTTGTTAGCGGCAAAGTGAAGAGATTGAAAACAAGATCACTAATCAGTATTTGTAGCTTTTTTAGGTTTGTATTTTGATAGTTAAATTGAACAACAAAACAAACTATTTCATATTAATCGCAATTTTTTATATGACAGTTAATCGTCACCTAAAACTGCATGATTGTGACAGGCCTACGTACTGAAAATAAATAAGTCTTTCTTAATGGCAGCCATGTTAGTGTCGAAAAGAAGATGAGCTGTGTAACGAGCTTTTCTAGTAATAGTGTTAAATACCACACAGTATTTGCTGTCAGCCTTGGTGTTGTTGGGTGTATATATATATATATATATATATATATATATATATATATATATATATATATATTGCAGTTTGAATAAGAAACTGCATATGCATTGAGGCAAAAACGCAGAAGAGAAGCGACCGTCTCTTTGGTTTAACTCCACTGTATGGAGGCTGTACTTTAGCTGGGCTATTTCTCGCTGTTAGTTCTTATAAATAGTCGTATATCACAGTCACCAGGAGAGCACATTAAACGTGCAACATATGCTTTATTACATATGCAACGAGGCAAAAACACAAAAGAGCAGCTCCACCCCTTCTATCTTATTATAGAGCTGTTGTGTCTTTTTGGCAAATCTTGACAGCCAATTTTTAACACCAAAATAGGGTTTACAATGAAGCTAAACATTAGTAAATCCGTCCATAAGTCCTTTGATTGATGTTTTCTTCCACTAATAACCTTCTGATGATGTCTGTAAAACAGTTAAATACACAATGATGCTTCATGGACCTGTAAATAGTGGAGCTTGTTTTATTGACATTATTTACATAGCTTGGTTAAGGTCATTGTCAGAATAACCCTCGCCCAACAAATGCAGTCTGCCTAGAGGAACAGATAATTGTAATAGAGGAACCCCGCAGAGAGCGTGTTTTATTGTAACCAAATGTGTGGACAAAGAGCAGCCTTTGAGCCGCAGGCGAGCTGGGTAACACACCGATAATCTATCAGCGAGGCAAGCACAACAAGAGAGCCCATCTTTTCTGAAGGCTGAGAGAAAGCGTACAGATGGGGTCCGCACCAGCAGGAGGCTCTTTTTGCATACCCCCCTCCGCATGAGCGAGTGAGAGCGGATAGAATGGATGTATGTGATGTGCTGCAGGTAGAGGATGCTGAGCGAGTTGCGGCAGAGGTGAGAAATAATGAGCTTCTCCTGCCGAGCTCTTTCCCTCTCTCTCTGTCTCTCTCCTCCCTCTCCCTCCTTTCGGGGCTGAGGTCTCTGCTGTATTGTTCTACAAGAGTGGCACAGGTTCATAATTCTTAATTCTACCGAGCATTAATTTACCTGCGACAGCGAGGGAAACCCCTGAGGAAGCGTTGGTGACAGCTTCATTCCTGGGCTCCTTAATGCTGTGTGTCTGCTCCGTCTCTGCCGCAATTCTCCAAAGCACCATAAAATTCCTCAACCAAGAAATATTACTGTTTTGCGCAGCAGGTTTTCAGTTCGTGTGTCTCCTGCTAACAAGCATTCAGTGGACCTAATGTGACAGGTGACACATCTACAACATAATCACAACATTCAGACACTTTTAACATGTGCACTGGGCGATCCACACAGTTAATAAATGGCTCAAAAAACAAATAGAACAAAGAGTCGTCTTCTCTGGTATCCAGTTTGGGGTTGGTCATGGGCAATAAAATCAGCAGTAGAGCAGAGTGGGGCAGAAAAAACTAACACGGGGTAAATTGTAACATGGATTTTTAATGTAAGTAAACAGGTTCAATATGCTTTATTTATGTCCTTGTATTCCTATAACAACATCATCTACAAATTTGGGCCGCAATCAAACAGATGTTTCTCTGGATTCACCCTGAAGACTGTTTTTGTACCTTTAAAGTAGATTATTTTCATCATAAATGTTTTTGAGTTATTTATATAAGTCACAGAATTCACATCTATTTTATTCGTCCTCTTGGTGTCTGTAACACAACATAAATTAGAAGCATGTAATCAACTCACAGTGAGAAATAGCCAGGCTAAAGTACAGACTCAGCAGGGTTAGTTACAACTAAGCCCCCCAAAGGGAACAATGGAAAAAGTCCATATCCCCCCCATATAATTCAAAACAGTCACTTGTTTGGAAGATTCATAGAAAACGTGCTATAAATGTCATGTAAAAGAAATAAAATTTTAGCATGCTGATATTTGCTGTTCTGATTTGTGGTCAGCAATTAATTTGCTTTTTCATGTAATAGGTTAGAAAGGTCATCTGGTTCAAACATCATAGAATTGTATTGAATCAATCAATTTGCATCCATTTACTAGACTTTTTAGCTACTGTTACAGCCCCATGGTCTGTTAAATTGTCAGAAAAAAGGTACTGTCAGGGATATTTTGTTCATCAAGGCACAAATAATGTTAATGTACCCTAAAAGGTATGTCAGTGTGTCTTCAGGTCCATTTATGTACCTAAAATGAGCTTTAAACGTACCCTACATTCATATCCTCAGTGGGGAGGGCCATATTTATACCTTTTCATAACCCAACATTTTAAAATGGTAATGCATTAAAAATGCAGTAGTATATGGTACAATTATGTTTTCTAACTAAAGGTACTGAACACATGTCCTTGAGGGCACCAGCCCAGTGACATGAGGAGTACTGTCTTTTTTCTGAGAGTGTACAGTTAATCCCACCTATGGGGTAAATTGTGATGTTTGCACTCACTCTGTTTACAGCTGAATTGTTTACAACAGTAGGCGCTAGAAACAAAGTTTTGTGTCTTTATTTGTTGCAGGAATGTGCTGGGTGCTTATAAAAAATCGATTCATATTAAAAAATATTTTGCACAAATACTTCTAAAAATTTTAAGAAAAAAACAAAATGTGTTAGGTTTTGCCCTGCTCTCCCATAAAGCACAGATTTGTTTGCTGCACAAACACATATACCTCTGAAAGGCAGAATGCTTCTGAGGGCCTTTATTTTGTTGTGCACATCTCTTTGTGCTAAAAGGCAAATAAAAAGAAAAGGCTATGCCACTCTTTGACCTAAGCTCTGAATACATTTCAAGGCGAGCTGTTTATTCTGTTGCAGAAATTGAAAAGTACGAAGGGGATGAGCTGAGAAAAGACGGGGAGGTGAAGAAGTACCTGGATATCATCAGCAACAAAAACATCAAGCTGTCAGAGAGAGTGCTTATTCCAGTGCAGCAGTATCCAAAGGTAAGATTCATGTCTTGCGCTGCTGTGTTTTCAGGATAATAATAGGGGCGACAGTTGGGAAGTGTTGACAGGACACCTAAATCAATGTTATGATCATGAGGACATCAAGATGTTGCCACCTCTTGAAAGAGATTTGTCAAAACTGTAGAGTTTCTGTCATGTTCTGGGTTGAACAGGTGGGCTTTCCAGTGCAGATTACTGATTGCTTTGCCACTTCTGTTTTCTCTGTAATCACTAAAAGTTTGGCAGCAAACGGTGGAAAACATGCATTTTATTGTTACTAGAAAGTTGCGTTTTCAGTTAAACTCTTTTTATAAGCTAGTTCCCTTTTCTCTTCCTGGGAAATAAGCGTTTCTTCTTACCCCATGTGGCCGTACGTTAAATTATTTGTGCCAGGAGATAAAGAGGCAGGAAATCATTTCATCTACCGACGCTATCAAACACCATCAATTTTGAGTCCTGTTACTGTTCATTCATCAGTGAAGAAGCTGGGAAACGCCCCATGTGGCTCTTTCTCTCAGTCTATAGCGCAGAGTACTTTTATTCACACACAGCAGTGAAGCTCTTGCAACCTATTATAAGGCATAACAGTTTGGATGCTGGATGATTACATTTTTATAAACTCGCCAATAGCTGGATTATGGTGGCAGAAAATCTTTGAAATACTGCTTTGATTCATCTGGAATTGAATCATAACACTTAATATTCCATATTGGCTGATGCTCGAAGGAAAAGCATGGCTTTGTGTAGTTTGCTCAGATTTTAACCTGCCGCCAGGGATCTCTGAGAGTGTAACACGCTGCCTGCATGAGGGCTGTATGAAATTTTAGTGACCAGTAATACTTTTAAAAATCTAAAATTCTAATGTAATGTAAGGCAATTCAGTGTAATGTAATTTAATCAACCAATATAATTTTCTTATCTCAGAGATGTCTGATATAGATGACAAGTCATTTAATATTGGTGAGTTATTGGTGGGATTTTTACCAGTACTAATAAATCTGCAGGCCCTCGATATCACCTGGGCCCAGGTCTACAAAGTTCAAAAAGGCGTGTAGGCAGTATTTATGTTCAGAGGAGGAGGTCTGTATTCAGCAACGTCAAAAAGTATTTGCCTTCCTCCTGATTTCCTCTATCTTTGCATATTGTCGCTGTCCAAAGAAAAACATGTATCTCCAAAATAGTAACTTTACAGGAAAAGGCAAAAACACTCTTACCTTTCAATGTAAGTCAATGTAAAGAGATTTTATTCTAAGTGATGATAGAGCATTTCTATTATTCCATTCATCATGAAATGTTCACACAACGCAAAAGTCAGATGGTGTGTTGAAATGATGTGAAAAATTGAAAAATGGACAAAAATGGAGATTGGTTGGTTTTCATTGGGCAGCGACAGTATTTGTCACACTATATAGTTTCAGATTCTCATTACTTTTTCACACAGGGCCAGTTGGTGTTGAATAACTTTTTTAATTCAATAAATGATCATTTTTAAAACTGTATTTTGTGTTAAGTCATTTTGTCTTTGTGTTACATAAAATTTTGTTCGTAGAAGTGAAACAGTTAAGTGTGACAAATAAGCAAAAATAGAAGAAACTGGGGGGAGGGGGGTATTGAATACTTTTTCAGAGCACTGTAGCCCATGTCCTAGAAGATGGGCACTATGAGACATCAAGATATCTGATACAAAAATGGGTGAAAACAAATAAATAAATAGTTGAACAAGCATGATCTGCATTAGTAAACAGAATAGTTAAAGGAATAGTTTGGCGAAAAATCTAATTTGCGCGATTTTCCGCTTACCCCAGATGTAGTCATTCAGCCAAGACATGATTGGTGTCCAAATTTTGTTGCTTTAGTTTAGCATTGGAGCTTAAGGTTAACATTGCTCAGTAATCATCCACATCCTCTCACTTGTTGTCTACAATGACTACCCCAGCATTCAGCTAGTGATGTTTTGTTCATTTTTATTGCCATAAACTCATACTTACCTTTTTCCTGACAGTTTCACACACCGTGGGACTAGTTTTAACAGTAACTCAGAAGATGAAAAAACTGTTAATTCAATGCAATTCTATGATGTTTGAACCAGATGAGCTTCCCAACCTGAATACATAAAAAATATATTCAAATGTGGCAGTGTAAGTTATACAGTGTACTAAACCACTCTGCACAACCTTAACGAAGACCTGGATGCAGTTTGAGTGAGTTGAGAGAAGTTCTGAGGATGTATTTTTGGAAAAAATGTGGGTGTCTTTTTCATGTTTGTTAGTTGCACTAGCCTTGTACATTAGCATACAGTGATAACATAAAGGAACCAAATGTAGTTACTAAACATGCTTTGGCTGATTGACAGTACCTGGGGTAAGTTGAAAAGTGTAAATTAGAACCATTCCTTTAAATTCCTTGACACCTGCTCTGTATCTATTGCAGTAAACAACATTTATAGTCAGAGCTTGGCCCAAGTTTGTGTTAAACTCCTAATAGTTTGAGTATACTTGCAGATAAAAAGCTGTGAGCGCTTATCACATGAAGCGATCTGTGAGAATCCTCAGCTTCTAGTAAACATATGCTCAGATTCTGGCCTACTTTTCTACTGCAACTAAAAAATGAGTTGCTGTAGTGTGCTGAAATGTGCTAAGACTCTTGGGTTGGTGCTGGATATTTGTACACACACACACACACATGCACAAAACAATTGTAGACAAAGTACATGCCTCAGGTTTTGTGTGCTAGATCTGTGTCTCGTTTAAATCATAAGTGCACAACAAAACAGGGTTTGTTTTGCCAAACCCGTCTTTTTCACAGGATTTGTAGCGCTGTGTAGTTATGATAACTGAACCATAATGCTTTCTAGCTATTTTCCTGGAATGCAGATAGCAGCTATGCATTGTTCCATGGCTGCCTTTGTGCAAACAATGTTAAGATTAGTTACATGTCTGGGTTGCGTATATAGCAGTCGGTACAGTAATTTAGTGTAAATGGTGGCCATTTTTTAGTCATGCACCCACCATTTTCTTTCATAGAGTTATGGACATTAGATCTGCACATTTCCTGCACTGTTTACAGGGCTGGAAGAGAAGATAGAGTAGCAATCCACATTCAGTGGCATGCGAACTTCAATCATGGCCTATGCAATGAAAATAAGAGATTCAAATGATGATAATTAAGAGAAGTCTTACCAGTACATACTTTTACATGTACAGATGTGATGCTTTCACTTGGGACCGTGCAGCATTGCTGGCAGAGGGTGCAGGTGGTGGATTTGGAGGGCTGGTGGGAGGGGGTTGTAGAGGGCCGTAGGATCCGCTGTAATTGGCGCCAGCAGACAGTGGCAGGTGTCGAGGTGAAGTGCGTGGGGTCAGACAGGAGACACAATAGTGACAATCAAATAACTTGCGCCGAGTTGAAAAATGTGCCACATCTGCCTGCTTTATTTGATGTGCTTCCACTTTTGACACAGTGCAGCTTGAGTGTCTGAATCTGGCAGTCTTCACCAACAATGAGGCTTGTCTGAAGAATGTGGAGAAAACAAGATGACTTTTCCTTAAGGACTAGGAGTACCAGTGACTTATAGAGTAACTCAGTAGTTCCAATGGTTAGTTAGAAGTTTTCACTCTTGGACGGCAATAGACGTTACACTGCTACACTGTAAATACAAAATTACGCATTCAGTTGACCCATTCAAGCTCCGCAAGGATGGAAATGGCCAGGTTTTACTCGGGGAAGAGTACAGTTTTTTTCCTTTTCCTTTCCTTTCCTAATCAAATAATGAATGTGTGAATTTTGTGCCTTTCCTGCACTCAGCATAAGTTTTGTCTGCTAAAGTCAAGAGCTGAAAGCTTGACTCTTTTGTTTTTCTTCGAAGTTTGACTTTTCTTTATATTACGATCTCAACTAAAAGAATAAAGACGCCTAAATTCCACGTTACCAGAAACTGTACTTTTGATTGATTGTTTCAGAGACATCAGTTTAATCGTAGCTTACACCTCAGTCTTTAAATCAATTTCATTTTCTTACGTACAGGAGGTAAGAGTAGGAAAGTTTTTTTTTAAAACATAACTGAACTGGTTAATGAACTAAGAAGTCATATAAGCCTTATAGCCATTTATAAAAGTTAAATAAACAGTGTAAAATACTGAAATATATTGCTTATATATGTTGTGATGTACTTAGCTAGAAGGTCAAAAATGTCCGGTGCCCATTTAGTTACATATACGCAGTGAATGGCTGACATTGGTAGTTTGTACAATATCAATCATAATTTCTCCTTTGGGTCACATTGTTTAATATGCTAATTTATTGTGCAAATTTTAAAATGAGATAATTTACTGAAATTTTCAACAAATACATGAATCGTTAAAAATGTTAATTACTTAGTATAGACTAGACACTCAAATACCACTAAGGTTTAAAGAAACAAGAAAGCGATTGACCACTTTTATTATCAATTGTGGAGTTTCTTATCTGCTTCACCATACCTTCTGAACACAGGGACGGACAGCTGCACAGTGCATTACTATAGAGACAGGGTGGGTGGACCCTGCTACACCATGACTTTTTCCTTGGCTGAACAGACTGAAGGCTGGACTTGGAGTGTATTCAACACCCCTTCAACCCGTGCACATGCGTTAGAAACAGTGCAAAGTGACTGGGCCTATATGCAGTTTCCCTATAAAAACAATTACCTAGATTTCAAAATCTTAATCAGAACACTGTACTGTCCCAGCTGTTCTTCCCAGAACAGTGTTCGAGTGCATTTCAGCCCATTTCCACCTTCAATGCTCTGCCCACAATGCATTCCTTCATGCCTGCTGTAGCGGGGTTGGACAAGCTTTAAAGACAAAATTCCATTCAACCAAATGAGCAATTGAAGCACAAAACTCACATTTTGTTAAAATAGCTACATTTAGAATGCATCATTAATTTCAATGATGTTTATTTTGTTTGCATGTGAAAAGTAACACTGTTACACAGGATAGATCATGTGTAGTTTTTCT